TGGCGCACTGGGCGCTGGCCGGGGCGCTGCTGCCGCTGTGTGCGGCAGCGCGGCCACGGCCGACTCCGTGTCGACCGTCCGGCACACTCTATCGGCCAAACTGATTCCTTCTAACATGTTATGACCTAACATGATCTTTGAACTGAAATGCACCAAGAAATAACTGAACGTGCTGAGTGGCCGTTGCTCGCCTCCGCACGCTCTCGCTACGTGCGAGGGTGCGGCCTACGCCTTCGGTCAACTCTCGACCACAAGGCAATTGACTCGACCATTTTAACTTAACTGAACTTTAACATGATTAAACTGATCAAACAGGACCTGAAAACATAATTTATGCATATCATGAACGTGAAGGCCGCGACATCACCCGTATGCCGCCGACGGCTACATGCCGTCTCTCGGCCGAACTGAATTATTGACCGACAACTACTGAACTACTCCACATGATTATTAAACTGAAGCAATTTAAGGACTAATCACACGGACAATTTTGCTTAATACTGGAAGTAACAAGTCTCGGCCCGAGGTTACCCGATGCTATGCGCGATAGGCGCGGGGGCATCGGCTGGGGGCCTTTTCATCGACTTTACAGTATATTAACTCAGCAATCTGATCATATTGAGCATCAATAAGACTAAACTGAACATTTAGGCGATCCTGGTTCGAAAGTTGTCGGAGGAAATCGAAATTCGTTCGGTCATAATCTAATTTAAACATGCTCGCCTATATGCACGGTTTTCTTAAAAATCCTCAAATATGAGCCGAACTCTAAGCCTTAACATGACTCAATAATCAAGAATATATGCTGAAGGGGAATTTACCTCTTCAATCGCTCGACGGAACTCGAAGAACTACGCGTGATTTCTCCACCTTGCGTGCCCGTGCGATGACTACTTGTCGCGCGATGGTGATGAGAACTTGAAGGAGTTTTGCTGGGAATTTCTTATCACTTGCTGCTGAATAAAGGTGAGAGATGAGAGGCAATATGCTGATCGCTTCCTAAAGGAAGATGACGAAAATTTTTCCCCAAGTGATTCTTATATATATGTACGGCAATGAGGGGGGATGGAGTATGTGAGGTGTGGCCTCCTCTTAACCATCTAAGTGGAGCTTATTTAGGATACTTGATGATGACTAATGCACTCCAATACTTGCCACGTTGCTCAACCATTTAGGGGAGAAATTGGTTTCCTTATGGAGAAGGAAGCCCACGGCTTTGACTATATTTGAACAAAAGTAATGCTAATCTCACGGCTTTAGGCATTTTATTAGGGTTAATTACTAATTAACCCTAATCTTGATGTTTAATTATTAATTAAACATAACACTTAATTACCAAAATTATTTCGAACGTAAACGGTACGTCGAAACTAGATTTCGGTAATTCCGACTGAACTTAATTAATTCCGAAAATAATAAACAATAACGTTACTAAATCGGAATTAAACATAATTTATACTGATAATATCTCGGGATATTACAGACTGGACCTCCAGTTTTTACTTTGCATGGACAAAACTATCATCTTATGGGTAGTTTGCTTCCTTCGGATGGTTCAACGCCAAAATTTGCACAGTTGTACATATATGATACCGACAACGAAATTTCAAATATAATGAATGCTGTGAGCTTTGTATTTAAAATTATATAAGTTATGAAAAACACAAGTATCCAATTATTATTCACTATGCTTATATAAACTTTTTTTTCAGGCAAAGAGATGGTGATAACGACTTGCACGAGGATATCGTCGTTGGCTTGAAATGAATGTTAGACGAAAACAACGAGCTGGTTAAGTCATTTCGAATGGCTCGCGATAGGATGCAGAACCACTCTCAGCCTAATGTCAGATTACGTCTAATAGGAATAAAATACAATGATGCCAGACGCTATAATCTACCCGCAAGCTCTGAAGTTGCTGCCTTGATTGTCGGAGATTTTGATCAATGTTTGGGTGACAGAGATATATTGGTTGAAACTAAGAGTGGTCATCTTCAACGGATAAATGAACTTAATGCTTCATATCTGGCATTACATTATCCATTGTTGTTTCCATATGGAGAAGATGGTTATAGGGAAGACATACCATTTTCTGATCTTAAAGCCGAAACTGAAGATGGGCGAAAACATGTGAGTATCAGAGAATATTTTGCATACCGTATGCATGATAGGGACAGTGAGCCACGTACAATTCTCTCAGCTCGAAGGCTCTTTCAGCAATTTATTGTTGATGTTTATACGATGGTGGAATCAGCGAGGTTGCGATATATCCGATTTAATCAAAGAAAACTTCGTTGTGATCTTTATAACCATTTGGCCGATGCTGTTGTTCGTGGCGACACTAATCCAAGTTCCCGAGGAAAGCGTATTATACTTCCTTCGTCTTTCACTGGTGGTGCCAGAAATATGATCCAAAATTATCAGGATGCAATGGCAATTTGCAGATGGGCTGGATATCCTGATTTGTTTATAACGTTTACCTGTAATCCAAAGTGGCCGGAGATTATTTGTTTTCTTGAGTCAAGGAAATTGTAGCCAGAGGATCGACCTGATATCGTGTGCATAGTGTTTAGGGCAAAACTAAAGGAGTTGATAAAAGATTTCCGTAAGAAACAAATTTTTGGGAAAGTTATTGCAGGTAACACACTTTTTTATCAACTTAATTAATAAATTAGTTTGTTTCGTTATTGTGTTTTCTTATAATTGTTTATAAACTTATTCATATTATTAATTTTTATTATTTTTTTCTTATCATTTTCGATATAAATACACTTTATTTATTTATTTATTTATATTTTGTATTTTGCAGTTGTGTACACGATTGAATTTCAAAAGCGTGGATTGCCGCATGCTCATATACTGCTCTTCCTTGTTAAGGAGGATAAGTTTCCCCATCCATCGGACATAGATAGAATAATATCTGCTGAAATACTAGATGAGGCGTCCGATCCTATTTATTTTGAAGCAGTTAAGGAGCATATGATGCACGGACCGTGTGGTGCAGTGCGAACAAACTCACCGTGTATGGTCGATGGCAAATGCAGCAAACGCTTTCCAAAAAAGTTTGTTGATTCCACTTCGGTCGATGAAGATGGATATCCACGCTACAGACGTCGGGACGATGGCAGGCATAAAAAAATGGTGTTGTACTCCATAACGGTTATGTAGTGCCTCATAATCGTCGATTGCTGATGAAATACGGAGCACATCTTAATGTTGAGTGGTGTAACCAATCCCGATCCATAAAATACTTATTCAAGTATGTTAACAATGGGAATGATCGTGTAACCGCGTCATATGAGACATCTGCAGACGGTGATTCTGAACAACCTTTAGACGAGATCAAGATATACTATGATTGCCGGTATGTATCTGGCTGTTGGGTTATGAGTTGCAGTGCAAGAAGCCTGCAGTCCAACGATTGAGCTTTCATCTTAAAGGTGAGCAAAACGTTGTGTTCGAAGACGATGATGATATCGAGGATGTGGTGAATAAACCAACTGTTAATGAAAGTCAATTTCTTGCGTGGATGGAGGCGAACAAATTATACCCAGGGGCCAGAGAACTTACCTATGTAGAGGCATCTTCTACATTTGTTTGGCACCCAAAAATGAGAGAGTTGATGCCTCGAATAAGTAAAGATACTACCATAGGTTGCTTGAGTCACGTTAACCCGGGTTGCGGTGATAATTACTACTTGAGATGTCTGTTAAATGTTGTCCGGGATGCTACATGTCATGAGGATTACATGAAAGTTACCAAAATTCAGTATTTGACTTATCGAGATGCTTGCTTTGAGCATGGTTTGTTGGATGATGATAGAGAGTATATAGATGGCATAACAGAAGCAAGTCATTGGGCATCTGCGGATTCTCTTAGACGTATGTTTGCATCATTATTGGTGTCTGGTTCGATCAGTAGACCTGACGATGTCTGGGAACGTTGTTGGCAATTATTATCTGATGACATTCTGTACAGGCAGCGACGATTGTTCAATAACGATGGTAATTATTGTTTCTAATATATTATTTTACTTAAATTTTAATTTTTAAATAAAAAAATTAATCATTTTCTTTATTTACTAAAAAATTTATTGTATCATTCAACATTTAGATTTGCGGCTCAGTGATGATGTTATAAAGAATCTCACCCTAAGCAAAATTGAGACGTTGTTGAGAAGGCGCGGCACAAGTATTCATCCATGCATTATCCAGTCAGAGATCATAGTAACTCCACTTCGAATCGCTCAATATTGGATGAGCTAAATTACGATCGGAAGGCTTTATCTGTAGAGCATGAAGCACTTCTTAGTAGAATGACCGACGAGCAGAAGAATGTTTATTCAAAGATCATGGACGCTGTTGATTCTGCTAATGGTGGTGTATTGTTTGTATACGGATATGGCGGGACTGGGAAGACCTACTTGTGGAGAACATTGTCTGTGGGGTTACGATCGAAGGGTAAAATTGTTTTGTGTGTCGCTTTAAGTGGAATAGCATCTCTTTTGTTGCCTGGTGGAAGAACTGCACACTCTCGATTTCACATACCGCTGAGTATTCATGAAAATTCATCCTGCGACATCGACCAGGCAAGTCCTCTTGCGGAACTTATAATACGATGCTCTCTCATTATATGGGACGAGGCGCCGATAATGCACAAACATTACTTCGAAGCTGTCCAAACATCATTGCAGGATATTATGGGAGCAGTTGACCCTTCCAACAGTAACAAGCCATTCGGAGGCAAACCTGTTGTATTTGGTGGAGACTTTCGACAAATACTTCCAGTGATTCCAAAGGGGAGTCGTTAGGACATTGTGAACACAACTATTAATTCTTCTGACATTTGGATGAATTGTACTGTGTTGCGCCTTACAAAGAACATGCGCCTTCAGAGCATTTCAGATGTAGACGAACGTGATGAGCTAACAACATTTGCTGAGTGGATTGCGAGCATTGGAGATGGGACTGTAGGAGGATCAAATGACGGTTGTGCTGCGATTGACATTCCAGAGGATATACGATTGGAAACTTCAGATGATCCAATTGCTACAATCGTCGAAAGTACCTATCCAATGTTCAAAAATGCAACTGACGATCCAAGTTATTTGAAGGACAGAGTTATATTAGCGCCTACTTTGGAGGTCGTTGAGTCTATCAATCAATACATGTCGGATATGAATTCTGCTGAAGGTCGTACATATTTGAGCTCTGACAGTACGTCTAAGTCAGATTTCGGAAATGGCTTTTTGACTGATCTCTACACACCCGAGTTCTTGAATAGCATTAAGTGTTTGGGAACGCCGAACCATGAGATGCATTTGAAGATAGGAACTCCGGTCATGTTGTTGCGAAATATGGACCATTCTATGGGTCTGTGTAATGACACACGTTTGGTTGTTACGAAACTCTCTTCGCATGTTCTTGAATGTAGGATATTGACTGGAGCTCACGCAGGTGAGAAGGTGTTGATTCCTCGGATGAACATAACTCCTTTTGATGTTAGGGTTCCGTTTAAGTTCCAACGGAGGCAATTTCCCCTTATGGTTTCCTATGCCATGACCATAAACAAGAGTCAGAGTCAGTCTTTATCACATGTTGGACTGTTCTTGAAAAAAACTGTTTTTAGTCATGGCCAGTTATACGTCGTTGTTTCACGTGTTACTAATAGGAAGGGGTTGAAAATATTAGTTTGTGGGGACGATGAGTTACCCAGTAATCAAACTAATAACTTTGTATATAAGGAGGTTTTTAATAATGTATAACTTTTTACCAATCACGATTTTATGTTTACTTTATGAATGTCATACATATTATAATAACTTATTAATTAATGACCTTTTAATTTTTTTAAATTTTCCAAAACATGTACTAGCCCGTGCATCGCACGGGTTACATACTAGTTTTGATGAACCAAAGTATGTAATATTATTAAATTATTTATTTTAAAAAATAAATATATATTTTAAAATATTATATATATATATATATAACATATATATATTAATATAAATGGGTCAGCGGACTAATATATTGTTAAAATAAATTTTTGAAAAAATATTTTAAAATACGAAACTCCATGCATCGCAGGGGATTCTCACTAGTTATTCAAATATACAGTGGGGCGGTTTTTTAGCCATTTTTTGAAGTAAAAAATGAAATATGGCCACTTTTTGTAAAACAATAAAATCTAGCCATTTTAGCACTTAAAAGTACAATTCTACTCTTACTTATTATTTACCTACCAAAGATATTAAAAACAAAAATCTGAAAAAGTTGGAAGTAGCACGCGCAGGCGCAGCCTCTCTTATCTCTTCCTTCTCTCTTCTTTCTCTCTTCCTTCTCTCCTCTTCTTTCTCGCGTCTCGCGTCCCCTGTAAAAAAAAAAAATTCTCATCTTCCCAAAATTAACATAAGTGAATCATCTGGAACAAAAATCATCTCCAACACATCAAGTGAATCCCTTTTTGAGAAGAAAAAAGGTACATTGACCTAAACCTATTTATTTTTATTATGTTAAATAAAAAGAATTCGAAATAGATTTTTATATTTTTGTTCCCAACATTATTGATTTGTGTTGCACAATTTTATTTTGTTGAAATAATATTTATTTATAGTTAAAAAAAATCAATTTTTTGTGCTTGAAAAGGAGGGGTCGTGTGTTAGAATTCATTACTTTTGTTGTACATTTTCTTGAGCCGTTTATTTGGAGTTTTAGGAGTTGAAGAATTGCTTATTGAAGAATAAACAATTTATTGAACAAAAAACGGTTTCTTGAACAAGAAAGGACAAGAAAGATTTTCGTTCGGTTCAACACGCAGTTTCTTGAGCAAGAAACCTGTTTGATGCTCAAGAAACAGGTTTCGTGAACAAGAAACCAGTTTCTTGACAAGAAACCCGTTTCTTGAACAAGAAACCAGTTTCTTGACAAGAAAACTCGTTTCTTGTCAAGAAACTGGTTTCTCGAGCATCAAACGGTTTCTTGAACAAGATGTAACATATTTTTTGCTCAATTAACTTTGCTCGTAAGAAACTGTTTATGAATTTTTTATTAAGATTTTTTTATTTATTTTATTTTTTCAGATGGACGTTGGTAAAGTGCGAATTGTTCACAGTGGTTTTTGGGATGAGAATATGTACAAAAATGGAGAAACGGAAATGAATATTTTATGTCTTAGGACGTCATCATACGAAGCTTTCATGAATAGGGTTCATGACATTGTTCGTGGAGATAGAAACATGTGCGCCTATCGATTTCACTTTTTAGTGGCCGGTGATAACTGAGAGGTGGAGAAATGGCGTATCTCTGGTGAATCAGATATGCGAAATGTGTCTGCCATGTTCACAATACCTACCATCTATGTCACATTACAGCCGAAACATACTCCAAGTCCGTATACTCAGGCGAGTGTACCAATGTACCCTTCGTATGGCTATCCAGGTGGGTTTATCAATTTATTTGCTGCTCAAGGCCCACCTCTCTATCCATATGGTGCTGTGTATTCACCTATAATGAGTCAACCATCAACATGTAATCCGGCGAACAATGACAATATGGTGCCTGACACCTCTAAAAGGGTAGAATCAAATCAACCCGGTGCCTCACGACATTCTCTCGAACATGTCGATTGGGGTGTGGATAGCGGGTTCAATGGGTATTCAACTGGGAATGATGAAGGTGATGGTGAAGGTCATGATGATGAAGTTGATGATGAATTTGATGATGGAGGTGATGATAAAGTTGATGATGAAGGTGATGATGAAGTTGATGATGAAGGTGATGATAACGAGCAATTTTGTGATCCTTACAATAATGAGACGAACATGAACGATAATCCTTGCAATGATGAACTCCTAAATGAGATGGATGATAACATTGATGATCCGGACTTCATAATTGAAGAAGATGAAGATATCGACGACAATGTTGTGTCCCCCTCAAACATGATGGGTGGTTTAAATGAGCATATTTTACGCAACAAGAAGAGTATAGCGATCCACAATGTTCCTCGGCTTGACCTTTATGGAGGGGTTTCTATTGAAGAGGACGATTTGAATGAAATCGCTACTCGTTCGAGTAGCGGTTGGAGGATTCCCGAAGCCAATTTTCACAACGTTGATGTTCATCCTTCGTCTGAAGAGCCGTCAATGATAGATCATGAATTAGCCAAAGGCGTTGTCATTGAAAGTAAGGAAGAATTGTTGGTAAAAGTAGGTTTATACCATTTGAAGCATAAAGTGGAGTTCCGAACACCGAGATCTTCAAATTCTCAGTTAAAGGTTGTGTGCAAGCATAAAAATTGCCCATTCTTGCTTTCTGCGAATGGACTGACTGGAGGTAGTTGGAAAATTTCAAAATTTATCCATCCACATACATGCTCAGTTAACCTAAATCATTCAGCCCCTCGACAATTGCCTGCAAAGATCATTGGAGCATTATTCGCGCCGAAGTTGTTGACAGAGGGCCGAGTATTAAAGCCTGCAGAGATTATGGGTGACATGGAGCGTGATCATGGCATTAAGCTAAAATACGATACAACTCTGAGGTCTCAAAACGCCTCCTACGACTTCATTTATGGATATCATAAGAAATCCTGGGAACTTTTGCCGGCGTATTTTCATATGTCGATGAAGGAAAATCCTGGAACATTGGCATACATTGAGACTGATAAAGATGACGTGTTTGAGTATGCTTTCATTTCTTTTAATGCGTCTGCAGGCTTCCTCAGTTATTGTCGGCCTGTTATTGTGATTGATGGTACACATTTGAAGAGTAAGTATAAAGGCATCTTATTTGTAGCAACTACAAAGGACGGAAATGAACAAATTTTCCCTTTGGCATTTGGTATCGACGATAAGGAATGACATAGTGCGTGGATGTGGTTTCTCCAAAAGCTTCGCTCCACTTTCAGATGTCCGGAAAATTTAGTAATTGTTTCTGATCGCCACCCGAGCATAAAGTCTGCTATGGAGGTTGTCTACCCTGAAGCCGTACATGCCATATGTTCCTACCACCTTCGACAAAATATTCAAAGTCACGGGTCTAAAGCTGTTGGTTTATATATGAAAGCTTCATACACTTATTCCCCTGTTGTGTACGAGAAGTCGATGGCTATGCTTGCGGCAAAATATCCTAACACAAAAAAAGTTGTGATTGATGAAGCCATTCCAACAAGGTGGGCACGAAGCCAATGTCCTGTGAGACGATATAGTTTCATGACGTCAAATGCTTGTGAGGTGCTTAACAATAGGTTGCGTTGGGCAAGGAAATTGCCTGTTTGCTCATTATTTGAATGTATTCGAAACATTATGCAAGAATGGTTTCACAAAAGACGTGTTGAGACAGAAAAGACTGAGTGTGAAGTTCCTCCATCAATATCTAAGCGTTTAATGGATTATAAAACTACAGCATACCAAATGGAAGCTTCAAATATCAATCTCTACATTTACCACGTGAAGGATGGGGTCAAGAATTTTGTTGTCAATTTGAATGATCGGACATGCACTTGTTATCTCTTTCAGGTGGATTTATTGCCCTGTTCACATGCGATTAAGGCTATCGGGTAATTTTTTCATTCTTTTTTATTTTATTTTTTAAAAGCCTCAACGTTTACGTACATATTGTTATCTTACACATAAGTGAATGTTATATTGTGTTCCTTTAATTTGTTTTCTATGCATGTACCATTTTTAGGAAGACAAACGAATCGGTGTATGGATATGTGCACGACTACTACAAGACCACAACATGGCGCAAACTTTACGAGCCCATAATCATGCCAATTGCGCATCCAAGTACTTGGGACTTAACTACATCACCTAGTTTGATGGTTGTCAAATGCCCTATTAATCCCAAGCAAGCCGGAAGACCGAGGTCAAACCGCATACCTTCTACTGGCCCTTCTTCGAGCTCTCGAAGTAAATCATTTTGTACACGATGCCACGAAAGTGGGCATTACTCTACAACTTGTGTTGCCTTAGTCCAAAATGTTGAGCAACCAATTCAATCTGGACGTCCCGCTACCAAAGTTCGTTTGTGTGGTAAATGTAAGCAACCTGGCCACCGTAGGAACAAGTGTCCTCAAAACATTACCTAGTTTATATGCTTTTTTTTTCCATTTATATGTTTTTTTTATGGATCGTAAATGAATTTGTTTGTGGGAAGACATAATTGGGTTGTAATTTGTATGATTGATTTGTGTGTGGTTAATGTAATAACTTTGTGGGACATATTGATGTGTGTAGTTTTGTTATGTTTGTTGTAGTTATTTTTAAGATGATTGAAAATTGAAGTGAAGTGTGTGAAGTCCCTAAAATTTTGAATGAATAAAATAAATAAAAAAAAATAAGTGGTCGCGGCCGCGGGGCTTTTCATAGCCGTGGCCGCGGCGAGTATTTTTTGGGTCCCAAATTTCAAGTTCAGCGGAAAAAATACCACGGCCTCGGATGTGTCCCGCGGCCGCGGAGGGTGGTCGCGGCCGCGGAGAATTCCTTGGTCGCGGCCACGGCGATGAATATGTACCTTCACAGATTTTGGGGGATTGCTCAAGAAACTGGTTTCTTGTCAAGAAACCAGTTTTTCGCTCAAGAAACCAGTTTCTTGAGAAAAAAACATGTTTTTTGAGATGATTGAAAATTGAAGTGAAGTGTGTGAAGTCCTTGAAATTTTGAATGAATAAAATAAAGAAAAAAAAAATAAGTGGTCGCGGCCGCGGGGCTTTTCATAGCCGCGGCCGCGGCGAGTATTTTTTGGGTCCCAAATTTCAAGTTCAGCGGAAAACATATCACGACCTCGGATGTGTCCCGCGGCCGCAGAGGGTGGTCGCGGCCGCGGAGAATTCCTTGGTTGCGGCCACGGCGATGAATAGGTACCTTCACAGATTTTGGGGGATTGCTCAAGAAACTGGTTTCTTGTCAAGAAACCAGTTTCTTGACAAGAAACTGGTTTCTTGGCAAGAAACCAGTTTCTTGGCAAGAAACCAGTTTTTCGCTCAAGAAATCAGTTTCTTGAGCAAAAACATGTTTTTTAAGATGAATGAAAATTGAAGTGAAGTGTGTGAAGTCCCAAAAAATTTAAGATGACATGTCAACAGTCCGTGTCTTGCTCAAGATACCCGTTTCTTGTGAAGAAACCAGTTACTTGTCAAGAAACCTGTTTCTTGGCAAGAAACCAGTTTCTTGACAAGAAACCAGTTTCTTGGCAAGAAACCAGTTTTTCGCTCAAGAAACCAGTTTCTTGGCAAGAAACCTGTTTCTCGCTCAAGAAACCAGTTTCTTGGCAAGAAACCAGTTTTTCGCTCAAGAAACCAGTTTCTTGACAAGAAACCAGTTTCTTGGCAAGAAACCAATTTTTCGCTCAAGAAACCAGTTTCTTGGCAAGAAACCAGTTTCTTGGAAAGAAACCAGTTTCTTGGCAATAAACCTGTTTCTCGCTCAAGAAACCAGTTTCTTGGCAAGAAACCTGTTTCTTGGCAAGAAACCAGTTTTTCGCTCAAGAAACCAGTTTCTTGCCAAGAAAGAAACATGGCGCAAATTTCGAAACCTGTTACGGCAATCCCCTAACCCTAGATATAGGATTTAGTTACTCATAGCGATCTCAACACAAACATTCATATTAAAGAAAGCCATGACATTCATTAATAAAACGAAAATAGAATCTTACGATTAATACGAAGGTTCAAAGTCAAAATCCGAGTGCAAAACGAATCTGAAAATAACAATCCGAAAAATATGTTATGGAGTTCAAAAGTGCGAACAACATTCATAAACTAGGATAGAACATAATGAAAACGTGCAAACAACATTCAAAGCACAGTGAAAAGTCACTGTTCATCCGAAGGTGGTGGTGGCGGAGGGGGGAAAGGCTGACTGGGTTCCAAGGTCCAACGGGTGTCCCACTGGGTGAACCTCTGATCCAAGATGCCCATCTGAGCATCCTGTTGTTCCTGCCGCTCGCGAATAGATCGGAGATCATCATTAAAGCTGTCGAAGTGCGTGCCCATCTAAGTCCAGTGAGTCTGCTGCTGGGTCTCCCATTGGTCCCAATGAGTCTTCTGCTGGGTCTCCCAGCTGGCCCACTGAGTGTTCTTCCGGCTCTCGAGTCCAGCCAATCTATTGTCTTGGGCATCAAAGCGGTCATGGATAGAGCGAATGTCGGACGTGTACTGAGTCTGAAAAGTGGACCACCATGACGGTGGCTGCTGAGGAGGAATCTCGGGCTGTGGGATCGGGGGTGTGCATATGGGTGGATGTGGAAGGGAATGAGAATCGTCGACGTTCATTTGCTCATGCTCGTCTCTGTCCGTCGGCTGCCGAGACGAGCCTGGTTGATCAGAATCGGGCGCACTCTGCCGGAGCTTTTTGAAATAGGTCTCGTAAGCCTGACGTTTCGTATACTCCTGAGCTGTGGTGCGGTTCTTGATGAGGTCAGCCTGCTTGAGCTCATTAAAATTAATACATCGCATCTGAGTCTTGTCTGGTCCCCACGTATCGTCGTGCAATGTGTAGGCCATAGGATCGATATCGAAATGTTTGGCGAGTGCGGTAACAAAATGACCAAGTGCCGGTGCTCCACGCCGATTGAGTGCAATCTCTTCTAAGGTGTTCTGCAGGAATGTCATGGAGCACACTCGCACACCCGCCCTCATCGCCCATAGGAGAAACAGCTCGACCTCACTGACTTTGTTTGCTTCTTTTTTCCCAGAAATGTTATAACAGATAAACCTGTGCACAACGGCAGTGGCCAAGTCCTGAATAAGGCCGTTGGACATGTCGGCGGAATCCCAAGTCGTATGCGGGGAAAGCTCGGCCCAACTCCTCTTAGCATCGAACTCGATGGCCTTGCTTTGCGTCCCAGCTATGGTGAACCCGCAAACATTCTTCATCACGGCATTGTCCACTGTCAAGTCCTTCCCCTTTAGCCGACAAGTAAAGTATCCGTTCCCGTCAGCGAGAACAAATGAGCTATAGAACTCAAGCATGAGGCTTCGATACGATATCTCCTCGATCTTGGCGTACTCGGTAAGGTTGAGGACCTTAAGGTACTTCATCACATCCTCAAGAATACCTAGGTCGTTCAGGAGGTCCCAATCTACTGCTTTAGGCCTTACCACCTCTTTTTGCGAGAGGCGGGCGTAAATTTCACCCTCCTTTCTCGAATAAATTGGGAAGAGAGCAATGTATTGGTCCGACAAATCATCCCGTTGACCTTCCGAAAGGGCGTCACGGGACGAGGATGATGTCGCTTTTCGCTTCTTGGCCGCCTCTTGGGTGGTTCTCTTCTTAGCGGGACGTATTGGAGTCTTGTCCATGTGAAAAGTCTCTCGGGCAATTTATCGAACACTTAGCACGCAAAGGTTTGAAGTTGGATCTTTTGTAACAATGAACAATGGTGGACTCAATATGATCCTCTTCAAACTCAAGTCAACATCAACAAGCCCAAACAATATACTTTCACAAAGCAAAATCAAAAATCTCGGTTACCGAAAGAAAGAATCTCGAAGACGCGGTGAAGGAGGGCTCGATGATGATGGAGTGCGTTGCGACCGACTTTGATGGTGTTGATGGCTGGAGGGGACGAATGCCGGCGAGCCTTGCTGGTGGGAGACGACTCCGGTAATGATCTCAGACAGATCGGACGTTGGCTAGGGTTCCCGAGTGGTAGTTCTAAATTCTCTGTAAACTCGCTAGGGAGGATCCTGGGATGAAGTAATTTCGATTGCAAAGATGAATACTCGATACTTTGCAATGATTTTGAGAAGTTTTGATGAATTTGATGTTTGAGCGGAAGCAAGAAAAATCGCGGGCGTGTGTTGGGGTTTTGAATGAAAAGTTAATGGGTGGTAATGGCCAGAAATCTGCACAAA